AAAAAAAATCATATTGTCTTCATATTCCAACCAACTAAATAGGTTTTTCTATCAGGGCCCAGAGGCCTGAGTGCAGGCAGAGAAATAACAGACTTGGGCTCACCCAGGATTAGGGTATTGCCAGATGGGTATGACTAAAAGACAAAGGGCAACTGAGTTTGATAGATAGATAGACTGATTGGTTAGGGAGATTGTAAAAAATGTTTAGATATATTTTCTTCACTGTATATTTTTACATTTGGCTATTTAATTCTATAAGTTGTTTTCACAGCCATTATGAGGTGGAAATCAATCTTCACTTTTTTCCCATATGATTTACCTCTTGCCTCAACATAGTTATGTAAATAATCTGTCATTTTCTCACTAATTTGAAACATCACCTTTATCATATACTAATTTTTCATATATGTTTGCGTCTGTTATTATGTATATGCTTTCATATATACTTGAGTCTTATTTATATTTTTAATGGGCACATTACTTAACTGTTACGTGAACTCTGTTTCCTTCTTACTCTCTAGTTTCCATGGTTCACACTCTGCAATCACTAAGAAATGAAAAACTGCTACAGACCATGAGTGCCCTTGTGCCTGGCACCCTCCCGGCCCAGCAGGAAGTACTCAGGACTTTGGCTTTGCTGTTAACCAGAGGCGACAACGAAGTTAGTGAGGCTGTGACACTTTACTTGGCAGCAGCCTCCAAAAATGAGCATTTCAGGGAAAAGGTAAGACACTAAATCATGGCCATCAAGCCAGAAGGTTGTTTAATTTTCTGTCATTTATCATTTTAGCATCTATTCTTTTATAAAAAATAATCTTCTTCCACTTATTAATAATACATACTTTAAAACAATTAAAAGTACAGAAATATAGTCAAGTGCCCCATAAGTCCAGTCCCCAGAAAAAACTATTACTAACTTAATGTCTATTCCTTCAGATTTTTTTCTATATATGTGCCAAGATATAAAATTATTTTTTTAAAAATGAGATCACACTGTTGTTTCATAACTGATTTTATAAATATGATATATCATGGTTATTTTCTTTCCATGTCTGAACATATTGGTCTAGTTTATTTACACTTCTGGATTAATGGCATGTCAGTATATGTATATCTTATCATTTATTTTCTTATTCCATATTGGTAGGCATTTGTGTAGTTTCTAACTCTGAAAAATATTATGGTAAACGTATATATGTGTACTTATGTGCGTACATACAGGCTTTTTATGACTAGTTCGGGGCCAAGTCATCAAACTATTGGGTGTAAGAGCTAGAATATTTTTTAATTTGAAAAGCCATCACTTCTATTGCCAGGAAGAGGTGATTTACCTCTCCCTCAGCTTTCATTCAATAGCTGTCCAAGATGGAACAGGAATTTGCAATTCAAGCACTTTGGGACCCATACAAGCAGGGGGCTTGGTCCTCTGGGAGCCCTTTACAGTTTTTACTGACATTCTAAAAACTAACTCTTGTCAATATCCACATCAGCTCAAGAAAATGAAACATGGCCCCTTCTTGTCCTTGAAAAGGTCAAATGTTGAACTCTGAGAAGAGTTTGTTTAACTTTTCTAGGGCATTACCTAATCTAGGGTGTGGTGGGATGTCTGTGTACTCACGAGAAGATATTCCATTCTAATGCCATTTTGGCCCAAGAGGGTGAGCTTCATGTTCTTTCCTACAGGGTCTGGTCTTTTAGTGGAGTTAGCTCAAAAGGCTGTTCTATGGGCAACCACTCTCACCCCCACCAAAAAGAGAAGAGGAAAATTAAAGAAGTGTGTACGCACATCTGAGTGTGTAAAGTTTTCTATGAGCGGGACTGTGATACTCTTTGGTCTAGAACTAGTGTTCTAGAATGCCTTTAGAAGCAAACATAAGAGTTATGACACAGCCCTCCTTTGGCTTTTCTATATATACCACTTACTTTCAGGCACATCTGAGTGTGTAAAGTTTTCTATGAGCGGGACTGTGATACTCTTTGGTCTAGAACTAGTGTTCTAGAATGCCTTTAGAAACAAACATAAGAGTTATGACACAGCCCTCCTTTGGCTTTTCTATATATACCACTTACTTTCAGGGTACATGCCACAGGCTAAATGCTCTCTTTTTGTCCCAACTTAGCTCTTATGTTCATTATCTCAGATTCATTTTTCACAAATTAGCTTTATTAAGTGACTGCTGTGTCCCTGGCACTGTATGGAGGGTTTTGTGGACACAGTAGAAATAAAGGGAAAATAGTTCAAAAGAAATAATAACTGCCAATTACTGTGTACCTACTAAGCACCAGGCACTGTGCTACATCACTTAGCTACCTTATCTCTAACAAGGTGGATGTTATTATCCTCTGTTTTACAGGCAAGGAAACTGAGCCTGCAAGGAGTTAAACTTGGCTAAGATGACACAATAGTTAAGTGATAGAATGTGGATTACCAACTAGAAATGTGACCCCCAAAGCCTGAACTCTTTTTATTTTTTCTTATATGGAATGGCAAAAGTTAGTACATTAAATTCTTGAAATTATATGTGAAGGGCTAACATGATAGAAAAATACCTCGATGAGAGCTGGTGTTACCATAAACCTTGAACCTTGCTTCAAAAATCTGAGCTATTGAAACAAAGTAAAATTTGTGTGTGTTGATTTTTTTATTTTATGCATTTTTTTCCTTCCACCTAGACAAGTAAGAAATATACACTCTTTTCCAATTCTACTTTTGTATTAGGATGTTGTTGCTTCTTTAATCATCTTGAACCTGCCAGAGGAGATGCTGATGGCCTCTGCATTACAACAGGGGGCTTCTTGCTTCACATTGTGCCTTCTGTTTGCTTCCTGGAACTAATATCAATCTGAGTGTCACCGCAGCCACCCTTTTTTTTTTTCTTTTTTTCTTTTTTCCTTTCTGTCTTTTTTCGTGTCCGGCAACGGATCGCAACCCTCAGTGTCGCTCCCGTACCGAACCGGGACCGGCAACGGGATCGCAACCCTCGGCGTTGCTCCCACACCTCGCTCAGCCAGTGAGCGGGAACCGGTCTGTATGTGGGATCCGAACCCTTGGCGGGAGTGCCACCGCGTTCTCAAGTGGCACACTGCAGCAGTGCGCCACCGGGCCGGCCCCACACCCTTTCTTAGGCAACCACTCAAACTAAAGTGAGCAATATATTGGTCACTTGTTTTGTAAGACTGTATATCTCTGCAAGATCCTGGGAAATGTCAAATACTTTCTCAAGCTGTGCTCCCCCCAGTTCCCACTCAAATCATAAAGGTTCAGTCTTTGTGCTCAAAGGAATGGTGTGGCCCAGAAGCCGGGCACTCAGTAATCACTGTTGTCTTAGTTGAGCACAGTGCCCTGTTACAAACTCCTTTGGGAACTTACTCTCTGAGATGAAGTTCACAGGGTCAGGTAGCATCCATGAACATAATACAGACAGGTCTGCCCTATCACCTAGCATGTTAACCTGACATTTAAGTGTCTCATCATTTGTTCATTGGACAAATGAATTAATATGTTTATATATATTTATACACATACTTACATGTGTTCCTGAAATGGGACAAACAGAAATAATGTTTCTACCAAGTTAACCAAATTAAATGGATTATGACTCTTAGCATTTTGCATAGCCAACCTCAATCGGTTTTTGACCTCCAAGGCCAGCCCTTGTTAAAATTATAAAGTGTATAAACTTTACCACATGACTCCTCTCTACTTTGCCCATTTCTCTCCTTTACCTCTCCTAAGGACCATCAAGGTTTAACCCCCAAAACAAAGGTTTAACCCTGATCAAATATACCAAACCCGGGCTGGCCCGGTGGCACACTGCTACAGTGCACCACTTGGGAGTGCGGCGGCGCTCCCGCTGAGGGTTCGGATCCCACATACAGACCGGTTCCCGCTCACTGGCTGAGCGAGGGGCGGGCACAGCACCGAGGGTTGCGATCCCGTTGCCGGTCCCGATCCGGTACGGGCGTGACACTGAGGGTTGCGATCCGTTGCCGGTCACGAAAAAAGACAAAAAGGAAAAAAATATATATATATATATATACCAAACCCAACCACATATTCCAAGACCTAAATGGCTGATAACAACTTAAATTGCCCTTTGTCTCAGGCATGATTGCATGATAACAGTGACTCAACAGGGACGAAATGCTAGATGTAGTCCTGGGCTTCAGTCCACCTCTGGTAATGAGAGCTTGGAGGGGGTCAATGGGAGTCAATACCCTCAAGGGCAGTCACCTTGTTCCTTTCATAAGGGATACTAGCCCCCATGCAGTGGCCCTGTTGTGGTTTATTTCCTCCCCTTTTTGCTGCTCACTCCCAGGAAGAAGGTGGTAGAGGTCAAAAGGCCAGCCAGAGAGAGGTCCTCAAAAGCCGAAGCCCAGGCTCTAACTCTTTAGGCCTGGTATAATTGAGGGCTAGTTTCTGTTATTGCTGTTATTCTTTCTGTAATAACCTATACTGCATATCTCTGCTTCCTTTAACAGTGTTCAACTGTATGTCCACACAAAAACTTGTACAGAAATGTTCATAGGAGGGCTGGCCCAGTGGCGCACTCGGTAGAGTGCGGCACTTGGGAGCGCGGCGGCGCTCCCTTCGAGGGTTCGGATCCCATATAGAGACCAGTCCGCTCACTGGTTGAGCACGGTGTGGGCGCGACACCGAGGGTTGCGATCCCGTTACAAGTACTAAAATTCAATGTGCCTAAATTCCCAGATTCTTCCCCACAAACTATTTATTAAGCAACTAATCAATCTTAATTGTGTCAGAGGGAAGAGTAAGTGAGAAACAAGAGACCTAAAATGTAAATGAAAAAAGAAAAGGCTGAGAATGCCCAACATGAAAGTTTCAATAGTCAAGATTTAATGTTTGACGTATCTTCATCACAAAAAATAAGACGAATCAGTCTTGGGAAAAGAATGAGAAGGCCACACCTAAGAACTTGCTGAAATCTTGGATGGGCACATAGGACAGGGGCAGGGACCTGCAGGCCTGATGGAACATGAAGAAAGGGATTAACACCTACTAAGAAAAAGTTAATGATCTGTGAAGGAAAACAGCTCTAGGAAATTTTGCCTTCTTTATTACTTGGTCAAAAACTACCTTCAGGTGGCCAGAAAAGCCCACAGTGATTGCTCTTTATTTGGATGCTCTCTTGATATACACATCAGTGATGGATGTCTGTGATACAGGCTTAATGTAAATAAAGACTTGAAGATACAGTGATCTGTGTGGATTTTTATGGATTTATGTGCTATAAAGGAAAGTACCTCCTTTAGTGATATTTCTCATCTCCTTTTCACTGGATATGAGTTTTAGAGTTCTTTTTTTCCTTAAACAGTAACTACACGTGACTTTGTTTTGTTCAAGTCAATAGTGGTAGAAAACAGTTATGTTTTGCAATAGCCCATGGCAATCAGTAAGGCGGAGGCTACAGTTTTAAACTCTGGCATATCCCAAGTCTGGGGGCACCAGATTCCCCCTCTTTTTCCTTTTCTCCTAGAAGATAGAATCCTTTATGCTGAATAAAAAGACCTCTTTCTAAACCATCCCTGCCCTCCTGGCTCCTGAAAGGGATTCCACGTAGCTCAGTGTGAAAAACAGTGCAGACACATGATTTTATCCACCCAAATCAATCAATCCTAGCCAAGTTGTCGGGAAACTTTTTTCTTAATTAATGATAGCATGCAGACGTCTCACAATGTTCTCTTCTGTGATCAACCTGGAAACAACCTTGAGAGGTCATAGTCTTTGGATCGAGTGGTCCTCCAATTTTAGGTCTCCCATCTGTCCCAATGGGGCAAAATAACCCATGGTCTACCCAGGCTGCTCACTCCAGTTTGCCACAGTCTGCACCCAGCACTGCCACTACCACTTCATAAACCTAGCTTTCTTCCAAGACTCAACTCCCCAAGAATTTCAGTAAGAGCATGTTTGTCTTGCAGAAGACAGGCTCCCTTTCTTCTACTTGCCCTGAACATGCTAGACCCTCTGCTCCCTCATCATGTTCTCCCTGGAGAACTCCCACGTCTTTTGTTATCATCTGTACACTGGTGACTCACAATATTTCCAGTCCAGGTCTTCCCTTCCCATCTAATACCTAGCTTGCTGTTAGATATCTCTACTAGGAAACCACTTCAAACCCCATTCACCCCACCCCCACCTGTAATCTCCTATATCTTGGTGGATCCTACAACCACTCTCCCAGTAGCTCATGCCAGAAACCTGGAAGTCAGCAGTGATCCCTCCCCTCACCTCATCTTCCTCATCCACTCCATCTCTCCATCCTGTAGATCCCACTTCCAATCTGTCTACTCTTCACGATCCCCATCTGGACTCTGTTCAGATGTCTCTGTCTCTCACCTGGATTAGAGAGCAACCTTCCTACCAGTCTCCCTGCCTCCTTATACTCTGAACTCTATTCAATCCATCTTCTCCACTGCAGTTAGAATGCTCATAATAAAATACAAATCCTGCTTAAAACTCTTCCGTGGCTTCCATGATCTGAAGACTTAGACATGAATTAAGGCGTGGAATTAGAATTAAGTCCAAAATCTTTAACATGGCTTGCAAGGCTCTCCTTGATCCTTTGCCTGTATATTCGTTTTGAGGTCCTTTTCTTCCTTAAACAATAACTACATGTGACTTTGTTTTGTTCAAATCAGTAAGTGGCAGAAAACAATTATATTTTGCCATAGCCCAAGGAATCAGTTCACCTTTGGGTTAGAATCAGAAAAATATATCTTATCACAAAAGAGAGATGATATGGTGACTTCACCAGTTTTTACTGTGTACCAATAAATAGCAGGGGAAAATAAAATATGCAAAGTACTAAAATTCAATGTGCCTAAATTCCCAGATTCTTCCCCACAAACTATTTATTAAGCAACTAATCAATCTTAATTGTGTCAGAGGGAAGAGTAAGTGAGAAACAAGAGACCTAAAATGTAAATGAAAAAAGAAAAGGCTGAGAATGCCCAACATGAAAGTTTCAATAGTCAAGATTTAATGTTTGACGTATCTTCATCACAAAAAATAAGACGAATCAGTCTTGGGAAAAGAATGAGAAGGCCACACCTAAGAACTTGCTGAAATCTTGGATGGGCACATAGGACAGGGGCAGGGACCTGCAGGCCTGATGGAACATGAAGAAAGGGATTAACACCTACTAAGAAAAAGTTAATGATCTGTGAAGGAAAACAGCTCTAGGAAATTTTGCCTTCTCTATTACTTGGTCAAAAACTACCTTCAGGTGGCCAGAAAAGCCCACAGTGATTGCTCTTTATTGACATGAAGAAAGGGATTAACACCTACAAAGAAAAAGTTAATGATCTGTGAAGGAAAACAGCTCTAGGAAATTTTGCCTTCTTTATTACTTGGTCAAAAACTACCTTCAGGTGGCCAGAAAAGCCCACAGTGATTGCTCTTTATTTGGATGCTCTCTTGATATACACATCAGTGATGGATGTCTGTGATACAGGCTTAATGTAAATAAAGACTTGAAGATACAGTGATCTGTGTGGATTTTTATGGATTTATGTGCTATAAAGGAAAGTACCTCCTTTAGTGATATTTCTCATCTCCTTTTCACTGGATATGAGTTTTAGAGTTCTTTTTTTCCTTAAACAGTAACTACACGTGACTTTGTTTTGTTCAAGTCAATAGTGGTAGAAAACAGTTATGTTTTGCAATAGCCCATGGCAATCAGTAAGGCGGAGGCTACAGTTTTAAACTCTGGCATATCCCAAGTCTGGGGGCACCAGATTCCCCCTCTTTTTCCTTTTCTCCTAGAAGATAGAATCCTTTATGCTGAATAAAAAGACCTCTTTCTAAACCATCCCTGCCCTCCTGGCTCCTGAAAGGGATTCCACGTAGCTCAGTGTGAAAAACAGTGCAGACACATGATTTTATCCACCCAAATCAATCAATCCTAGCCAAGTTGTCGGGAAACTTTTTTCTTAATTAATGATAGCATGCAGACGTCTCACAATGTTCTCTTCTGTGATCAACCTGGAAACAACCTTGAGAGGTCATAGTCTTTGGATCGAGTGGTCCTCCAATTTTAGGTCTCCCATCTGTCCCAATGGGGCAAAATAACCCATGGTCTACCCAGGCTGCTCACTCCAGTTTGCCACAGTCTGCACCCAGCACTGCCACTACCACTTCATAAACCTAGCTTTCTTCCAAGACTCAACTCCCCAAGAATTTCAGTAAGAGCATGTTTGTCTTGCAGAAGACAGGCTCCCTTTCTTCTACTTGCCCTGAACATGCTAGACCCTCTGCTCCCTCATCATGTTCTCCCTGGAGAACTCCCACGTCTTTTGTTATCATCTGTACACTGGTGACTCACAATATTTCCAGTCCAGGTCTTCCCTTCCCATCTAATACCTAGCTTGCTGTTAGATATCTCTACTAGGAAACCACTTCAAACCCCATTCACCCCACCCCCACCTGTAATCTCCTATATCTTGGTGGATCCTACAACCACTCTCCCAGTAGCTCATGCCAGAAACCTGGAAGTCAGCAGTGATCCCTCCCCTCACCTCATCTTCCTCATCCACTCCATCTCTCCATCCTGTAGATCCCACTTCCAATCTGTCTACTCTTCACGATCCCCATCTGGACTCTGTTCAGATGTCTCTGTCTCTCACCTGGATTAGAGAGCAACCTTCCTACCAGTCTCCCTGCCTCCTTATACTCTGAACTCTATTCAATCCATCTTCTCCACTGCAGTTAGAATGCTCATAATAAAATACAAATCCTGCTTAAAACTCTTCCGTGGCTTCCATGATCTGAAGACTTAGACATGAATTAAGGCGTGGAATTAGAATTAAGTCCAAAATCTTTAACATGGCTTGCAAGGCTCTCCTTGATTTGGCCCCTGCCTTCTCCAAGTGCATCTCCAGTCACCCTTGGATTCTGGGCCCTGTCACAAGCTATTTCCCTTACCTAGCACTGTTTCCTTTTCTACACCCCGAAACACCCCCCTACTGCCACCTGACACACAATGTACCTACCAGGTGCCCAAACTTGGCTACCTCTAAGGGATCACTCCCTCCATGAAGACTTGCCTGACCATACGGGTTCCATTTCCCAGTCGTGTTCTGCCCTAGCACCCTGACTCAGTCTATCACTCATTGCAATAATTCCTCTACTTATTTAACAATCTGCCTTCCCACTAGTCTGTAAACTCTTGAGGGCCAGGACCATGTCTGGTTTATTGCAGAGTCTGCCACACCTTGTGAGTAATCTGGTTCATAGAGTACGCAATAAATGTTTATAGTTTAAACAAATAGAAGAGTTCCCATCGTTGACCTTTGTTCTCTCCTCTGTTTTAGAATATAAGCTGAATATTAGGAATTCTTAAATTAAGCTGTTTTGGAAACAGTGGGATATGGTAGAAAGAACTACGAAAGATGGGTTCCATTCTGTAAAGCAGGCTAGTCACTTCACCCCTCCAGACCTGGAGTCCTTTGTGAGAATTTAGCTGTTCATTGGAGTTCCTACAAGTAGGAATCCTGGGCTCCATCCCATAAAATTCCAATACAGTGCATCTGAAGTGGCACCTAGGAAACTGCATTTTTAAGGGAGCTCCCTAAGTGATCTGATGCTCAGTTAGGTTGGGGAACCCCTAGGTTAGATGGTTTTTAAAGTCCCTCTCAGCTATGAAATGCTGAGTCTCATAGAACCCCGGACCTAAATGTCAGAACACTATTTAAAGTATTTTTCCTCCCTAGGCTACTGAAAGCATTAAAATGCTGGTGACACTGTGTCAGTCTGATACTGAAGAAATCAGAAATGTGGCCTCAGAAACCCTCTTGTCTCTTGGTGAGTTTGGGGGGTGGTTTTTTTGGTTTTTTGTTTTGTTTTGTTTCATGATTGTTTACTTCTGACACTCTCAAAGGGAAAAGTTTCATGTACCCTGTTTTAGCAGTTTTTTTCCCTGTAGGCTGTCTATTCACATACACACAACAGAGTACGAGGAACTGATCAATATTCATCTCAACTCCTTGTTCTAATGGCCTGGATGCTAGGAGTGAAGTTTATTCTCTGGAGCAGATCTAGATGGGTTAATCAATCTGTGCACTATTTGCAGTCAAGAACACAGAAGTCAAGGTCTGCCGCAAAGGCCAAAGGAATCCTGGTTGGGTTGCTAGGGTGGGGTTGGCACTCCCTGGAGGACAATGATTGGTTGAAGAACCAGCGACGCATCCTGGGGAATGCTGCAAATCCCCAGGTGTCTTAGCCTCCCCCTGACTCCCAAGATAACTGATTGCTCTGCCGGTCTTAAGCCCATCTGAGTCCTGACACCAAGGAAAAGAATTAAAGTATGTATTTTATTCTGCCCCCAGGTGTCTTAGCCTCCCCCTGACTCCCAAGATAACTGAGTACTCTGCTGGTCTTAAGCCCATCTGAGTCCTGACACCAAGGAAAAGAATTAAAGTATGTATTTTATTCTGAAATATCCAGGTAACCCATCTTCACTTCATTTTATAAAGGTTCATGCCTAGGAGGTTTCATCCTTTCCTTCTTTTTTGGGACATAGGAGCGGGGAAAGCCTTTCTTAACCCTGCGTTAAAAACTATAAATAATTGTTATAATTTTATGATACACTCTTAAAGTGTAAAAACTATACTTATAAAAGTCCTCAAACATAATCCAGCCAATAATACTCTTTGGAAAAAAGCCACCCTAGGTTGACTATCATAGTTTAATAATGTGAAGAAGAATCTCATGGCATTTATAATCACCGTGAAAATCCCATTCATTATTAGGCCTTCTTTCTTACAGTTATGGGTGTCATAAGGCTCTGTTCTGCTATTGAGTATATTATTCGTTGCACAGAAATCTTAGCCAGCATGTGTTTGTTTAAAGGATAAAACAGTTATTCCTTATGGCTGTTTTGGGCATAGAAATTACTTAATTCTCTAAAACCGTACCAGGGTATTATTAGTTTAAACTCCTTTATCCCTTAGTGTTCTGAAATAACAATGAAGGTAACCCAGACGTTTGTAAAGCATGGCCAATGATGCTTCTACTTCCAGTGTAACCTAAGGAAGTTTATCGCTGTGGAATGCGCCCCATGCTTCACTCATGCTGTGCAAACAGCAGCATCTCCAGAAATGATCCTCATCCTGCTTCACCGTAGCTTTTTACACACGCTGCTCACACCAGCCCCTCGCCCTCTCACACTGCCAGTTTGTGGTTCTCAAAACTGGCTGCACACTGGAACCACCAGGAAAACTTAAAACATAGTCATGCCTGGAGTCCGCTGCAAAGATTCTGCTTTCATTGGTCTGAAGTGTGCCTCAGCAGTGGGAGTTTTTTTCTTTTTTTTTTTTTTT